ACCACCCTGGATTACAGTGTGTGTAGAGTTTGCCGCCTTCTTGGCCTCCAACTGCCTGGCAGCAAGGTTGTTAGGCAAGTCCTAAATGTCTTCTACTTGGCAAACCAAAGCCAGACTTTTCCACATGCCAGTTGTAACTGCACACACATCAAGTGTACAGTTTCTGGGCCTCTCCCCATGCTGCTAGAGTTTAAAGCCTAAATCCTTTAGGGAAGGGAATAGATGAGCTATAAACCATTTGTTGTGTACAGCCTTTTAGAATCTACATGCATATTTGGAATCTTAGAAATTAGGTTCTCTACTTCAGCCAAATCATAGAAGAAAAAAACAGCACTTAAAACACCCACCATGTACAGTGTCTAATTAGGAGGAGTTTGGAAAATGCAAGCTATTGTCATTTTAAAAAGAGGTTTCGCCAGTCTCTGCACCAAGTGGTGAACACTTGAGCTGTGTGATATTTGGCAAGTCGGTGTCTCTCTCTGGGCCTGTTTCCTTTTGTATAAAATGGGGCATTCCTAAGGTGCCTTCCAGTGATGTCAGTCCTATCATTGTTCAGTATTAGTAGAAGACTGTATCTTTATGTTCTGCCATTCTTCCGGGGGTGTAGTAGTTTTAGCAAAACACTCTTCTGGAATTTAGGTTCTAGCTCAAAAGATAAACATCAGGTACTACTGAAAGTTTTCTTATCTGGGAGGTCAAGCTACTCATCTGAGAAATGGAGATAGGGATGGATCCTGGACCCCCATTAACCGCACCCTTCAGCCTCTAGCTGAGGCTATTGAATGAATGTGTTTTAACGGGTGACAGAAACTCATTACTGAGACTGGTGAGTTATCCCAGAAATCCCAACCATTCAGAACACAGCTCAGAACCAAGAAAGACATTATTTTCTTTTTAAGTGTAAAGGGCTGGATGTTCACAGCCTGCAGGAAGCAGTCAAGATACTGGGGCCTCTGGCTTTATCATTTCACAGTCTGCTAATTAGCAAATTTTAGAATGAGAGACTAGAAGTTTCAAGTCACATTTAACAAGGGTGAATGTAAAGTCCTAGCCTAGGTTTTATAGACTAATTCTAGAAATTCAGGAAAAGGCAAGATGTAGCTTAACAACAGTTCATTTGACAAAGAAATGGGAACTTGCGTTGTTTAAGACCTTGGTGAGTCTAGCATATAATGCCACCTAGCTGCAGTTAGAAGCTATTCTAAACATGATGTTACCAGCTAGACAAAAGCTGAAATTTCCCATCTAGGAAGATGGCAACCACATCATATGATCATAGTTAGCAGTAGTGCAAATGTTTTTAGATACTTCCAGGATTATAACATAAAAGATGGATCAGCTGTCTCAATCTGTATCATGCTGTTGGGTAGCATAATATATAATGCTAATAAAACCTGAATCAAAGTTACTAGGTTTCAAGTTCCTAGGAAGTGAATTTTGGCTAAATTAAAATGAAAAACTTTTAAAGAATTGGCATTTTTAAAAAGTGTGGGTCTGTGAGTTAGTGCCTTGCCACTAAAATTATGCAAGAACAACAGGATGATTCTATAGTAGGGTTTCTGTCAAATGTACTTTGTTACTACATTAGAGGTTTGGCTGTATTATATCCAAGTCCCCTTATAGACTTAATATTCTAGCATTCTATAATATTCTTTCTGATATATTTATAGACCCAAATTCTGAGGCTTGGGAATTGAAATTAAGCATCTCTTTGTCTTGATCTTCTTAGTTTACAAATCCAAAATCCCGTTGGTTAAGATTTTCTATAATGTTTTTTATAAGGACATTTCTAGAACTCTAGAAGACTTGGGATCTATTATATTCCTTGCCTTGTCATAAAAATTTACTAAAAAAATTATTTCCAATAGTCATTTCCAGGTACTTTAAAATTATATGCTATAATCTCTGTTCTATAATATCTTTGAGTTATAACATAGCTTAAATGGATTCTTTAAAAATTAACCGTTTATATTATATCTTACTTAGGTTTTTTATTGGAGTCTTTAAAAATGTTTCAGTATTAAAAAATGAAACAATGATCCATGCTGAGTTTTGTTGTTGTGTAGATGGGAACCTTCTCTTCGCATGACTCCTGACCAGGCCCTCAAGCACGCTTGGATTTATGAGGCTCAGAACCTCAAACCACGGCCCCGGCCCCAGACCCTGAGGAAGCTCAATCCCTATTTCCCCTCTGAGGCAACAAAGGACAACGTTCAAGGGCATCACCACTTGGATAAAAAAGGTACAGCCCCTTAAATAGCCAGCTCTCTTCCCATAGCCCTGGGGCCAGGCATCTGTGGAGGATTGCATGTCATTTTCTCTGAATTCAAACTTGGATAGATAATTATTCTGGCTACATTGCTACTGGCCTACCATTTCTTACTTTTTGGATTTTCCTTTCAGAAAACTTGGTGCTAGCTTGTTTTGTTTTTTGCCCCTCATTATTAGGATTTTCCATTTTTGTCTTATTTTCAATTCCCTTTCTCCTGTTTTCCTTCTCTTTGTGTCCTTTTCTGCAGCCTTATAATCACCTTTTGAATTTGTATAATATTATGGCATTAGTCAAATATCTTTTATATGCAAATAGCCTACTCGTTATGTACATGGTCACTAGAGTCAGGTTGCCTGGAATTAAATTCAGGCCTTATTATTTACCAGGTATAGGCCCTTGGGCAATTTACTTACCTCTTTGTATCTCAGTTTCTCTGTTTATGAGAGTGAGAATAATGCCTATTTTCTATGGTTGTGGAGAAAGGATCAAATGAATTAGTAAATATGAAGTGCATAGAATAATGCCTGGCATATAGAATGTGCTTTATAAGTGAATTGCTTTTATATCATTACAACCAGGATTTCCCTGCTAATGGATAGTTAATGAACAGAATATCATTCACATTTTAAAACTTGTTCCTTTGTTTTCTCTCTCCTTCAGCAGATGTGATCATCAAAGAAGAGACTAGAGACAAAATAAAAGATGGGCCCACTAACCCGGCTCAGAATTCAGGTGATCAGCAGGGCTCTCTCCAGCATGCAACTGAGGTTGTTCAACTGCCTCATATAGCAGGAGCGTCCAGTAAACCAGAGGCAGTTGCCAGGCCAGAGGAGTCCAAGACCTCCGCAGAACAACAAAGCAAAAACTCCTCACCCAAGAACACAAGCATCTTACCACCTATTGTATGACCTCTGCTGAGGGTGTGTCCTGTTCTTTTTCACCAATGATTTGTATTAGAGACCACTCTTATATTGTACAATAACACTTCAGATTGCTGTTTTTAATGCATAATGGTTTGTTTAAAAACAACAACAAAAAAACCCTACAACTCTATTCACGTGCCCAGTTGGCATAGTTTCTGATATGGATGGGAGAGGAGATACTTGCATCTATTCCCTCCTGATGTCCTAAACCAGATAAAACAATGGGTGTATATATTGTGGGGGGGGGGGGAGTTAAATTCTCAGTTGTGTCATCACTAATAGAATTCTAAATTATTTTTTTTTGCCCAAGGCAGGATTCTTTTTCGAAAATGACATAAAATAAATCCAAAATAGTTTGAACAACAAGGGACATTTATTGGTTTATGTAATTAAGGGACCAGAAAGGGTAAGTGCAGTTTCAGACACAGCAGGATCTAGGGATTCAAATGAGGTCATAGGGCTCAGACTCCCTCTCCATCTCAGCCTTGCTTCTTTTTATGGTTAACTTCTTTCTGAAGACAAGCTGTGCTCAGAAATTAAGATGACCACTATCGTCCAATCAAAATATGAAGTTTTCCTTGCAGGCAGGAAAGCCTTAGAAATGATTGGACTGAGATATTGGGATCCTCTGATTGGCCAGGCTGCATCACAAGGCCACACTGAGAAGGTGGTGGCGGTGGAGCACCCTGTCTGATGCTTCTTTAGGGCCAAAATAGCAGGAGATGCTTGTTCATCCACCACTCCCAAAGTCTAATTAAGTTCATTTATTTTGCCTTTCTAGTCCTTATCTAATGAATACATAATCTCTATGTGGTTGTAACTACCGTACAAATAAAATTTTATAAGAAACTTAAGATTATAACATCATTTTAAACATGTTGTAATATTCTATAAAGAAAAACATCAGATAACTGAAGCTATGAGTTTGGATGAAATCACCCAGGGAAGATAATACAGAGTCAGAATAGTAGAGGGTAAAGAGAAAGGCCTATGTACCTGTTGACAAAGTTGAGTAGAGTCCCAAAGAGAAAGAGAAAAATAGGAAAATTAGAAACCAGAAAAGAAAGTTTCTAGAAGGAAGGATCAAGAATATAAAATTCTACAGAAAGGTCAGAATAAGAACTGAAAATGCTTCTTAAATGGGGTGATACTGACATTAAGTCAGAGCAATATTTTAACAGGTAATTTGTCCCATGTCCTGTAACCAGAAAGGTACAGAGCTGGAAATAAAATTCAGGTCTTCTGGACCTCTTGACATCAACTGTCTTCAACCATGGATAAAGTTGGGGTGGACAGTTGTTTTGTCCTTGAAGCCAAATCCTTGATGCCATAATTAGAATGATTTAGGTTGAATATTAGAAAATATTTCCCTATTTGCATGGTTATAAAAGGCTGAAATGAGTTGATGAATTATGGCTTCTTATTTTTAGGGAACACTTTAAAGCAGGGGAGCCACAGGTTGTGACACACAGGTTGAATGACCTTTGGCAGGAGCTCTCAGTCCAGCATAATTTTTCTTCTGCTATCAATCTGATTATTTTGCATTCCTGAGATCCCAAGGAAACCATAGACCAGGAGCCCTTGAATTGTAATTTTTTTATTGTATGTCCTTGCTCGCATGGACAGGAAAATCTGCAAAATCCAGTGACTAGCATAAGATGACATGTCTTTGATGTGAGTGGGATGAAGATAATGTTAGGGCTCTGTGAGGATATAGAGAGAGGAGCTGTGGAAGTGAGAAAGGAGGGAAGGGAAAAGGGCTGGGCCCACTGCTGGAAGAGGGGAAAGCAGTGTGTAGGTGCCGATCACAAGTTCACCATCAACCAGTCCAGCAGCTGCAGCCGTGTAACATTCCCCACTGCCTCATCCAGCTGTCGCTCCTTCTCATAGCGCAGCACTGATTGCAGAACCTCACCTACGCTGCGTCCTTTTTCCACAGCGGCAGCTGAGAGCTGAAGTAGCTGTGGGAAGGAAAGAAAGCAGTAGTGAAGGGTCCTGTAAGGTCCTGCTAAGGCTAGAACTTAAGAAACTTCAGCAAAACAGACTCTAATTAAATGTCGAAAAAACTTCCTTAATTGTAAAGTCTGCTGGCCTGTTTGGTAGAAGAAATTTGGTTATATCACCCTTGATTTAAAGAAGAGTTGTTAAAATCCATCTTTCCACGATATGGAAAATATGATTTCCCACTAAGTAAAACCTTCCTGTTTCCAGTGGCTGTTTGGTCAATGGTGTTCTTGCTTTCTAAGAATTCTAGTGTTCTTAAATTCACTGTGATATCATCAGACAGCCCCCATCACTGTGCCAAGATCAACAAGGGCAGCAGAGAAATATGTCAAAGGACAAAGGTGGATGCTGTCCCAAGCTCCACAGGTCAGGGAGCAGCAATCCAGTTCAAAGATCCATTCAACCCCCTTGAAAACGTTCCCTGAAGAGGTGAAGAGACTTGTAATACAGTGCTAGAAATTAGCAGAGGTAAAATTCATACCCATGTCTCTGAACCTGATGTTTAGTTTTTTCTTCCCAAATATAAAATGAGACCACTTATGCAAAGCAACCATTCTAATACGAACATAGTGGATTGCCATTCATCTGGAATCACAGCAGCAACAAACGAAGGTAACCCAACTTTTATTTTGTGCATCATGCACCTGATTCTAAGATTAAAAAAAAGTCAAAGAACAAATACATGAGCCAAATATCAGGAGTTCTTTCAGAAGAGAAAATTTCCATGTGAGAAACTGATGGACATACAAATACTGTTGACACAAATGGAAATGCAGAAAATCTTGGCAAAAAGAAGATATACAGAAGAACCAAAGGGAAATTTTAGAACTAAAAAAAAAATATCCAAGATGAAAACTTATTAGATGGGCATATAAAGAGAGAGGAGAGTCAGTAAACTTGAGGATAGAAACAAAAGAAATTAGCCACATTGAACAATATAGGATTGATTAAATTTATTTCAAAAAATGATTAAAAAATTAAACAGACTTTGGGAGTCTGTATGACAATATTAAAATGTTTTACATTTATGCCATTAGAACCTTAGAAGGTGACAGGGAAAAGGGTGCTACAGAAAAAAATGCTTGAAGAAACAATGGATGAGAGCTTCCCTAATTTGCCACAAGACATAACAAACTCAAGAAGCTCAGTGGACCTAAAATAAGATAAACCAAAAGAAATTCACTTGAAGACTTGTTATAATCAAATTGCTTGAAAAAATGAAAAGCAACCATAGAGAAATGGCACATTATATGGGAATTAAATTATAATTTGAGTGACAACAGATTTTGCATGAGAAATCACAGAAGCCAGAAGGATATGGCACTAAATGAAAAGAACTGTCAAACAAGAATTCTATATTCAGCAAAAATATACTGCAGAAATAAAGGCTAAATATAGAAAATTTCAGATTAAAGAAAACTAAGAATTCATTGTCAAAAAATGTGTTCTAGTTCTTAAGACAAAAGGATGGAGGAAAAACAGAAATAGTAAAAATCTCAGTATAAAAATAAACTATTCTCAGTTCTTTCAAATGTGTTTTATGATTGAAAGCAAATATAACATTGTCTAAAAGTTTTCTAATGTATGTAGATTAATACATGAAAACCACAATATAGAAGGGAACATAAAGGGGCCTGAATGATGTCTACATTCCAGTTTAAGTGTTAACTATTTATCCTACATAGACTCTGAAAAGTTAAATATGTATATTGTAACTCCTAGAAAAACCACTAAAAAAACTACACAAAGAGATATAGTAAAAAATACAATAGATAAAAATGGAATACTAAAAAAAATGTTTCAACAATCTGAAAGGAGGCAATAAAGAGAAAAATAGGAAGGAGAAAAAAGAGAGAATAAATAGCACTAATGTTAAAATAGTAGACCTAAATTCAAACATATCAATGATTTTACTAAATGTAAATGGTCTAAACACACCAATTGTCAGAATGAATAAAATATATGACCCAATTATACTTTGCCTACAAAGAAAGAAACCTCACTTCAAATGATATGGGTAGGTTAAAAGTAAAATTATAAAGATGTACCATGAAAAAACACCAGTCAAAAGAAAGCTTGAACCTCAACATTCACGGTCAATTGAGTTTTTTATAAAGGGATTTTATAAAAGAAAAAATAATTCAAAAGGGCCAGTTATCTATTTATATTTCTAGCAAAATATGTTGAGACAGCTGCAAAAGAATGAGACCCCTACCTCATATCATACATAAATATGAACTCAAAATGAGTCACAGACCTAAATATAAGAACTGAAAGAATCAAATATTTTGAAATAAAAAAATTTTTTCATAACTTCATGGTAGGTCAGTGTTTCTCAATCTGACAATACTGATCTTATGGACCAGATTATTCTTTGTTATGGGATTGTCCTGTCCATTGTAGAGTTCAGCAGCATCCTCGGCCTCTACCCGGTTCACTCCAGTAGCAACCCCCCTTCCTCCTAGTTTTGACAGCAATATATATCTCCAGACAGTACCAAATGCTTCTTGGGGGCAAAACTGCCTACTGTTGAGAACCATGGAGTTATACAAATATATAACATCAAAAACACAAGCAACAAAAGCAAAGAGTAATAAATTAAATCTCATCATTAGAACTTTTGCTCTTCCGTTGGGAAATGCGCGGCCTGGTTTCAGAAGCTGTAACCTTGCCGACACGCTGGAGGGACCCAAGGCTGGAGATAATCAGGAGGTCTTGGAGAAAGAGGTTCCTGAGGAGACTTGGCCTGTCCCCCCTGGCAGGGGCATAGCCCCTGCCTCTCTGCTTTGCCATGGCTGGTCAATTAGCCCATGATGGGTGAGGGACCTCGCGCTGAGATTTTCAACCTAAGACAGGCGTTGGCCCGATTTTGGCAGCAGATGAGAAATTGGGGGACATGGAGAAGGGACGAAAACGCCCCCACACCCCTCGGCTTGGCTTGGACATGGCCAGAGTCCTCAGTGCAGCCGAGAAGCAGTCTCCTTATCTCTTGGTGGTTCCTTCCTGCGCCTGGCTCAGGCTTGAAACAATGCGGGGGGCGGGGGGGGGGCGGGGGAACGGCCCTAAATCAGATCTGGCGGATCCCGGGTAATCAGGCCTGAAAATAAATTCTATAGAGTGTGCTCTGTTCCTCCCTCAAATCTCTGGTCAGCTCATGTTGCGAAGGGCATTCATATTATTTACATCCCTTTCCTCGTCAAGACATTTGCTTTATTTACACCTTTTACCCTATATCTTTAAGACACCTTTAAGTCTACTTCCCCCTTATCGATAGTCTCTATTGTTGATTCTTGTTCCCTCTCAGACCCATGTAAATCACTTATTTCCTGTCACTTGTTTTCCTAAAGGTATCTATTCTCTGTGAAACCTATCTTGAGAATGTAATGAGTATCCACATGATTTCCTGTTATACCTCACTGGTAAGATTTTCAGTAAAAGCCTTGGAAGAAGGGGCAACGGGGCCTTTCCCATTAGGGGGATGTGCCACGGCCGACCCCAGGACAGGCTCTGTGGGTTTCAGAGCCCTGCTCCCACCTCAGCTGGACCCAGACGGTTTCCCTCCCTCAGGTTTCAGGGAGCGCTGCACTCTCTGCCGCGCTCCCCCAGGGTGGCAAGTCCCCTATAGCCGGCAGGGCAGTGCGATGCTCTTCAAAAGATTTCATTAAGTAAAAAAAGAAGCCACATACTGAGACAAAATATTTGCAAATAATATAAGATAAAGAACCTATATCCAGAATATATATAAAGAATACTTGTAACTTTATAACAAGAAGAAAACAACCTAGTCAAAACACGGTCAAAATATTTCCATAGACAATTCACCAAAAAAACATACACCAATGTCTAATTAGCACATAAGAAGATGTTCAAATCCTTAGACAATTTTAATGTGTGTATGTCAAATTAAATCCACCACCAGATACTACCATAATAGCTATAATAAATGTTGATGAGGATGTGGAGAGACTGAAGCCTACATAAACTGTTGGTGGGAATGTAAAATGGTACAACTATTTTTTGAAAACAGTTTGGCAGTTTTTAAAGATATGCTTACCATAAGGTTCACCAATTTAACTCCTTGTTGTCCAAGAGAAATGAAAATGTATGTGCCCACAAAGATTTGTATGTGAATGTTCATAGTAGCATTATTCATGACAGCAAAAAAGTAAAAACAATCCAAATGTCCTTTAATTGGTGAATGAATAAACAAAATGTAGTATATCCAACATAATGAAACACTATTCAGCAATAAAAAGGAATGAACTACTGGTACATACTCCATCATAGATAAACCTCAAAAAAATTATGCTAAGTGTGAATGGCCAGATGTAAGGCTATGTATTTTATGGCTCCATTCTGTAAAATGATGGCAAGGTAAATCTGTGATAGAAATCAGGTAAATGGTTGTCTGAGGCTAGGAGTGCAACTTAAGAAACATATCCTAGAAAATTCTGAGATAGAGAAATACAGTCTCTAGTCATATCAGATATTAAAACATATTATAGATTATCAGTAATTAAAATGATATGCTAATTTAAATAGTATGAAAATAGTATATATAGTCAAACAATTCAGTGAAACAGAACAGAAAGTTTTCAAAAAGAACCAAAGGTTGTTAGCCATCTGGGAAAAAAAAAAGATATTGCATCTCTACCTCATATATTGTATAAAAATGAATTAAAAATGGACCAAAGTCTTAAATTTTTTTTAGAAAGCATACATATTCATGGGCACTTAGGCTATTTCCAGCGCTTGGCTATTGTATATAGCACTGCTATGAACATTGGGGTGCATAAGTTCTTTTAACCAGAGTTTCAGGATTCTTAGGGTATACTCCCAGCAGTGGAATCACTGGGTCAAAAGGCAGTTCCATTTTTAGTTTTTTGAGTAAATTCTATACTGTGTTCCACAGTGGCTGCACCAGTCTGCATTCCCACCAACAGTGTATTACGGTTCCCTTTTTTCCACATCCTCACTAGCACTTATTGTTTGTTCATTTGCTTATGATGGCCATTCTGACTGGTGTGAGGTGGTATCTCACTGTGGTTTTAATCTACATCTCTGATGGCTAGTGATGCTGAGCATCCTTTTGTATGTCTACGGGCCCTCATATGTCCTCCTTGGAGAGGTGTTTATTCAGGTCTTTTGCCCATTTTTTAATTGGATTGTTTGACTTCCTGGTGTGGGGTCATGTGAGTTCTTTATATAGTTTGAAGATCAAACCCTTGTCTGAGGTATCATTGGCAAATATGTTCTCCCATACAGTCAGTTCCCTTTTCATTTTGATGATAGCTTCTCTAGTCATGCAGAACCTTTTAAATTTGCCCTAGAATGTATATTGGCAAAAATATTGCTGCATGGGATATCTGAAATTTTACTGCCTATGTTATCCTCTAGGACTTTTATGGTGTCATGACTTATATTTAAGTCTTTTATCCATTTTGAGTTTATTCTGGTGTATGGTGTAAGTTGGTGGGTCCAAATGCCCATAAGCAAATGAGTGGATCAAAAAACTGTGGTACAATTACACAATGGAAAACTATGCAGCAGAAAGAAAGAAGCAACTCTTACCTTTCATAACAGCATGGATGGAATTGGAGAATATTATGTTAAGTGAAATAAGCTATCCAGTGAAAGACAAACACCATATGATCTCACTTACAAGAGGAACCTAATGAACAAAATAAACTAACAAGCAAAATAGAACCAGAGGCATAGAAACAAGGAACAAACTGACAGCAACCAGAGGGGAGAGGGAGGGAGATAAGGAAAGAAAGAAGGGGAAGGGACTAGTCAAAGAACATTTATGAATGAGCCATGGACATGGACGACAAGGTGGGGAATGACTGTGGGAGCTGGGGTAGGCTGGGCAGAGGAGGGTGAAGGGGGAAAAATTAGGACAACTGTAAAAGAATAACAGTAAAATATTTAAAAAACATAAGCAGGAAAAGAAAATATGGGAAGGTTTTGTTAATATCTTGGAGTAAAGAATGTCTTCCAAAATATGACACAAAATCCAGGAAAAATAAAAGAAAAAATGTCTTAAGATTTGACTACCAAAACATTTAAAAAAATTCTATATGGCAAAATCAAAATACGAAAAGACAAATGATTAAAAAATGTATTTGATATCACAAAGGCTAATTTCCTTGTATATACAACTCTTACAGATCAATAAGAAAAAGAATAACAACCCAATAGAAAAATGGGTAGGGGGTATAAACAAACAATTCATCCATGAAAAAGAAAATTCAAATGACTCCTAAACTTACAAAAAGATAGTCACCCTCATTCCTAATAAGCCACATATCATGTTTGTCACTTGTTGTTGATTAAAGTATGGGAAATAGGCACTTTAATATTGTTTTAGTAGATGTGCAAATGGGTGCAAGCTCTATGGAAGGCAATTTGGGGATATACATCAAATATAAAAACAGACATTAGCGGTCATCTTGAAATTCCTTTTCTAAGTATTTAGCATGTACAGATACATTATGACTCTATGCACATAGCATTACACTTAGTAGCAAAATACAGGCAACTGAGATGTCCATACATGGAAAAGTGGTTAAATACAGCACCTTCATACAATAAAGTAATACACAGCCATTAAAAAGAACGTGTCAGCTCCATATGTTACAGAGCAGAATATATATATTATACTATAATTTGAGACTTAAAATGAGATATATACATATAAGTACTTACTTGGGTATGCAAATGTATTTCTAAAAGGATAAGCAAGAAATTGATCACATGGTTTTCTCCAGGGAGAGCAATAGGATAGGAGATAAAGATGGAAACAAACCTTAATTTTCACCGTACACCCTTTTGTGCCTTTGGATTTTGAACTATGCACATATTACCTATTCAAAAATGCATACAAATTCATTTAAAGGAACTGGGCTCATGGGTATCCCAGTGTTATTGGGTTCAATCACTTGTGTCAGCGTGAGAGTATTTGTACACATTAATTAAATCTCTTTCAAAAAAATCTAAAATCATTTTTGGGAAGTTTCTTTGATGTATATATTTCATCCAGCTGCTCTTAAAAATAAACTGATATTCAAGGAGCATTGACTCATTGGTTGAAGTTTGGATGTTCTGCTGCCCATCCATTCCATTATTTTCCTTTAATAAAATAGATGATCATCTTTATCTTTACAGTGGGCAAAGATGTATGGTTGTGTGTCTGTGTGTTTAGAAGGACTGCAAGTCTACTGTCCCTACTTTAGATAAATATATTGCAGGCAATTTTAATTCAAAATAATCTAAAACTAGAATGTATTATGTATTATGTATTTTACATGTGATGGGCTTGACTTAAAAGATGGCTATGGAACAAAAGCCTTTTTCACACATTGTACCCAGGAAAGCTATGCTTCTTTTAAGATTTTTTCATCAGTCTAAAGCTTTCATATAGCCCCCTCTGTAAACTGCTATGTACCAAGATAGTTATCCGTTTTACAGACTGGTAGTGACTGAGACTCTTTACAATTTGCAATTTACTCTTAGGGACATTTGTAGGATTGGAACTCCACATTCTGTTCTCTAGCCCAAACTTGGATGTACACACAGACCACCTGGTGATTTTGCTAAATTGCTAAAATGAAGATTAGATGACTGGATCAAAAAACTATGGTACATTTACACAATGGAATACTATGCAGCAGAAAGAAAAAAAGAACTACTAAACTTCGCCACAGCATGGATGGAACTCGAGAGCATTATGCTAAGCGAAATAAGCCAGGGGGTGAAAGACAAATACTATATAATCTCACCTATAAGTGGAACCTAACCAACAATACAAAGACACAAGGAAAATAAGACCAGCAACACTGAAAGGAAAAGAAACCAACAGAGACAAGAGGGAAGGAGGGAGGGGGAGCAGGGGAAAAGGAAGGGAAGGGGAAAGTCAAGGAACATATAGCAAGGACTCATGGACAAAACCAAAGGGGAAGAGTTGAGGGAGGGAGGGAAAGAGGGATGGGACAAGGGAAAGTGGTAGGGGGGAGGCAGAGATAAATGTATTTGAAAAAATAAATTAATTAATTAAAAAAATTCTGATTCAGTAGGCCAGAAGTAGAACCTAAGATCCTAAACTTCTAACAAGCTTCTGGCTGAAATCAATGTCATTCAGAGACCACATTTTGAGTAGCAGTACACATATCATATAGTTTCTTGTTTAGGTTTTGTGTAGCCTAACCTGGATGTTATAAAATTCCATGTCTTCCCAGTCATCAGTAGCCCAGTTGCAGGGTTTACTAACGACACTTATTTAACAGATAAAGTCTCTTCCTCAACATTCTCTGGTTTCTATAATGATCTATCATTTTTATAAATAACACCTGCCTCCCATGCCACCTCTTACTACTTAATTGGTAACTACCATTGTTTTTTTTTATTAGTTGAGACAATAATCAAAAGTCCTAAAGGCGGGGGTGGTATGTGTGTGTGCGGGGGGTAGGGATGGTCTCTATTTCCTAATTCCTCTACAGTAGCATGAAGCAGCAACTCACATACGTGTTCATGCTTTCCAGACTCAAAATCTCCCTTCCGTGAGCAGTTCCAAGGCCTACATTGGGAGGAGCATGGAGTTGGAAGGCACACTTAATTAGTAATAACCATGATAAGTTGATTTCTCATTTGCCTTACCCTTTAGTCTTTTCAATTGATTCAGACCTTAGGGTACGGGTGGAAAAGGCATGTTATTTATCAAATCCTTTCAAATCCCCAATACCTCCTAGACAACCAAATAAAAGAATAATGATAGTTTTGAAAAGCTCGTCCATCTAGAGCATTCATGCCCTCTCCCTAACCCTTCTTAACACATCTCAGGATGCTTCCCCATAGCCCCTTCTCATTCTTTGGGCACTGCTGTTCTATCCAAAATTAAGACTAATCAAACTAAGTGAAGGTACCCAACAAAGGTACCACCAGCCTCATCACCTTCACAAAATTCAGACTTGAAGCCCATGCTTTAATCTGATTCTTTTACCAAGTCTCTTGGAGATTTCGCATCTATGCAATCCGACAAATATGTGCAGAAAAAAAAGTTTTGATTTATCATATACTCCCACATTTCCCCCTTTGATGTGACTATTATTGGAAAAATATAATTTTACTTTTTCCATTATTTCTGCCAAGAGTCATGATCTTCAAATTCTTAGTGTCCCCATTCTATTATTCTTGTAGCTATCTTCCCATTCAGAAAGAAGACAACTTAAAACTCCAATGAATCATTATCTTCCTTACCTTTTCTTGGATTCCTTCGTCATCACCAGCAAAATACAAAATAGGGACATTGAGCTCAGAGGCAGCTACCCATTGAAGTACAGCTTGGAGTTGCTTGTTCTGAGTGGTATCAATTATATTATGATTGCTGACAATCACTTTGGGTGCTGCACACCCTTCAGGGAGCTGTCCTGATATACCTCTCAATTCATTATGGATAGCTTGATAGGTATTTTGCAAGACAGCCTCTGCTGTCCCTGTGCTCTTGACTGGTAAACACTCACATAAACTATCAGCAAAGGCTGAAGTTGTCCTGCTAGCATCACCAGACTTATCATCATCCAGTTTTGCAAAGGGAGAGTCACAGGACTTGGCAATAATGAGACACAGCTTCATCACTGAGTCCATCAGATGTTCCATCATCTTTCCTTTCATGTGGCCATCTAGATGGTTGGCAACCATCTTGCTCAACCCAACAAAGGTACCACCAGCCTCATCACCTTCACTTAGTTTGTTGGGAGAAGGGGATACAGGTCTTTTGAAGAAGTCTTCCTTCATTGGTTGTTCTGGCACCTTGGGTTCAGAGCTACTGTCATTCTTGAAAATGGTCTCACTAAGTAAATTCCGGATAAAGTTGAAAAAAACGCTCATAAGATCCTTCTTTTCTGCTTCTTCTTGGTTGCCTCCCCCATGAGGAGACTTAAGGTTGGTCTCATTAGAAACTACAGGGGACTTATTGGTGGGAAAGTTGGTGCTACTAGCAGCTTCAAGGAAGCTCTGTGCATCCATGCTTCCTCCCTGGGCCAGGTGGTACTGAATTAGAAGTAAGGCAGATACAAGCAGGTCCTTGACCCAGGAGTCTGAATCACACATAAAATTCTCAGGTTTCTCTAGGTGATTCACAGTGGGGCTGAGGTTGCCAGTATCCAGAGGATATCCCAGGGGATATTCTGGTGTAGGGTTATACTGGTCATTGGGAGTTGCAAATGTTACATGCTGGGAACCTGGAGATTTTCCTTCTTTATTCTGACTTTTATGCCACAAGTTCAGTCCTTCTTTGATAAGGTGTTCACCCAAAGTTTCGGCACAAGTCTTCTCTAGTTCACATGGAGGACAGTACATTTTTTCCCTCAATTTACCTTCAGATTTCATTGAAGCAAAATTTACATTTCGGTTTTTAGGGTCACCCATCCCTTTCATGGAGACAAGGGAATAACTCTCTGACATGTCCTTGGTTTTCCTGATATTCTCAGGTTTCTTGGCAAACACTACAGTGTATAGCTTATTCAGCATAGCATCCATGATATCTGTGGCCTTTTGGCTTCCATGAGAGAAGCAGCTTCTTTTCACAGCTGAGACAAAGTCTGTATCAGTCATGAGTGTCCCTGTGACATTGTGGAGGTTCTTCATGAAGGAGTCAATGAGATCTGAGACCACCTCTTTTGCATGCTTGATCAGTACCCTCTTCAGCAGGACGGTGGCAATGGTTGTGTCTTTCACTTGGATTCTCAGTGTCTTCATGATGGAGACCATCATATCAGATACCACACTGTTAGCATAGGTCATGATCTTTTGACTAATAGAAGCTGTAAAGTCATCAGGCCTTTCTTGCCCTCTGAATAACTTCCTCTCCCCAGGTAAGGACCATCTACACCCTTTGGCATCACCTGCATTACGAGATTCAAATACTTCTTTATAGAAGAAAGATTTCTTAGAAGCAGGCTTGTCATCTGGATCCTTTCTTTCCTTGATCTTCAAAGTGGTCTTGTATTTGAAACTTGAGGGACTCTGTAAAGATCCAAAGACTCTGTCACCAGGGTCGGGAACCTTATCTGAGGTAGCATTCTTGGAACATTCAGCAACAGTCTCATTCACCAGCTCTGATGCCACTTTACTCAGGCTTTTGCTGAGTGGGGGCTCATCCCCCATATACAATGACTGATGGACACATTTGTTTTCAGAGCCATCAATTCTTTCATTGATCTCCTTCCGGGCCATGGCAATGACTAAATTTGTGAGGCGGTTAGCATAAAAGGAAACTTCATCTACTGCTCTTTCATTACCAGCTTGGGCACTGGGGCCCTGGAGAGGGTTCTCTCTGTGAGTCACCTCAAAATGAAATCTCCCTGGACTGCCCTTGTTGGAGGTGTTGTAGTAGTCCACGAAGAAACCCTTGCCTGGGTCTCCTGAGTTGGTCATTTCTCCACCAAATGATGATTCTTCGGGCTTGAACCTAACATCTTGGAATTCTGCTGTACTTTTTTCCAGGTCTCTGCGGAGCCAGCTGAGCACTCTGACAGGATCCGTTGAGGCTTCCTTAAAAACAGACAAGGATTCATCCGACTATAACAAAGTAAATATATGGGATATTCAGGACAACTCAAAGATCAGTTACAAAAATGTTACCTTGCTCAAGCCTGAACGACTTCATCATCACAAAAAAAATAACCAACATTTATTGAGTGTTTACTATGTATCAGGAACTGTTCCAAGTATTTTAACTATTATCTCATTTAATATTAATTTCACAGTACACCTAAATGTTAACTCTTTTATTATCCACACTTTACAGAGGAGAAAATTGAAGAACTGAGAGATTTAGTTACTTATCCAAGGTTATAGAGCTAATCATTGATGGAGCAGGAATTCCAGCACAGGCAGTCTGGATCCAGAACCCATGTTCTTGACCACTGCACTGTATTGCATCTAACACATATATCCTTAAGATCTGACAGTCATCAGCTACACAGCTGAGTTAGCATTTGAACTAAATCAGATTTTCTTGTATTAATATTAATTGATATTTTCTATGATCTGTTTTTATTTAGGTCTCTTATTACAAAATAAATTTTTCAAAAAATTATTCAATTCAAGGACAATTGTGCATAATTAATCATAATTAATCACTTTGCCAGACTACACAAGCACAATCTGGACATGCTAAATGGCTTCCAATGGACAAATTACTATAACTTAACAATCTGATTTATGATTGAGGAGTTAGTATCTGTGGACAACTTATTTGTTAAGTGAATACAGATTCTTTGGTGGACACTAGTTGTGATAAACACATGCACAAACTTATATGTTTACATTTTGTTATCTATAATCTTCACTTGAACACAGGTAAAAATAATAATTTTTGTAAAATTGTTCTATTTACTATCAAATGTAAAGAATCATTGTAATTATTGGAGTTATGTCTTCTGGAAATGCCAAGCATTGCCCATCTTTAGAGATTAATTTCATATTTTAATTACCAAGTGACATATAGTTACTAGCTACTATTTGTTAAATACTTATGTTTGCCAGGCATTGTGCTAAATGCTTTACACACATTATTTAATTTAATCTTCATATATACCCTGTAAGGAAGGTATTACTCTTCCAGTTTCACAGATAGAAAAATTGAGGCATAGAGAAGTTAAATAAATTCACTAGCATTTCATAGCTACTGTATGATGGGTGTTAGTATCCAAATCCAGTTCTTACTCTAAAATTGGTGCTCTCTCTCCACTGCTGTGTTTTGAAGACTTGGAAAGAAGAGAAAAGCAGTTGTGCCAGTCCTCTAGAGAGCTGGTTTAAGCTGCTTGGTGGCCCTAGTGCTTGGTTCAAAGTCTTCCTAATTGATTCTAATATGAACAATGGGAAATTTTGGGCTTCAGTGGAAAACTATACATAATTTATAGCATACGCTTTCACACTTTCTGATTATAATTCTCTTGGAGCTATTTTACAATTCTGTAAAGCATAGATAACTGATAGCAATACAATATAATTTTTATCTATGTACACATTAATTCTGACCCAGGAAAGATACACCATAGAAAAGGTGCTTCCATTTGCACATTTGCTTCAATATTCCTGATCTATATATGAATGTTTATTTTTCTTAGATTCTCCATTGAATGACACCAGTTACTTGTTACTGAGGTAAGTAATACCTTTAATATAAGTTTATTTTTATAGATGTATGACAGTCATTTCACCCTTCTCTGAAAATGATATTTTAAATAGTTTTGGAAGTCTTCACAAGATGTCCAACAGATTCACCTAACAGATGTAAATGCCATCATGACGGTAGTGTTCCAGGTGCGCCTTAGCCCCCAGAGGTGAACCCAAAGTGGAAATGGAACTATGCATGTGTTCTGTTTTCCTAATTTCAGTTTTGCTCTCAACTAATTTTGCTTTTCATTTTCACTTTGGTTCCTTTACAGCCAATAATCTGTTAGTGGCAGAAGTGACTGAGAATTTTGTTTTATTTCCTCACCATTTGGTGATTCTTTAAAGAATCATGGTTTATAGAGCTCTATTCCCTGTTGGATGAGACACAACAGAAAATCTGTTTTGATAGTATTTATTGCCTGTCTTAAGTTCAATTCAACTAAGAATTTTATGCCCATTTGGAATGAGAAGACCCTTTCAACCTCGGGACAGGTGAGCTTTGTGTTTCTGTTTTGACTTTTGATGCATGGGCTAAAGTTTATTATTTTTTAATTGATATATTCAGGTGTACAACATAATGATTCAATATTTGTATATATTGCAAAATGACCACTAATAAATCTAGTTAACATATATTGACACACATAGTTCAAATTATTTTTTCTTGTGATGAGAACTTTTAAGATCTACTCTTTTAAGTAGTTTCAAACATAAAATAGATTGTTACTAACTATAGTCATCATGCTGTACATTCTATCCCCAGGACTTAATTATTTTAAAACTGGAAATTTGTACCTTTTAATCATTTTTCACCCATTTTGCTCATCCTTCACCTCTGGCAACTACCAGTTTCCTGAATCTATGACTTCTTTTTTTTCCCCCCTGAAGATTCTACATATAAGCAAGATTATATGGTATTTGTTTTCTTCTCTCTCTGTTATTTAACTTATCATAAAACCCTCAAAGTTCACCCATGTTGTTGCAAATGGCAAAATTTCCTTCTTTTTTATGGCTGAATAATATTCAATTATAGCACATTTTCTTTATCTTTTCATCTAGAGATGAACACTTAAGTTGCTTCCATATGTTGGCTACTGTAAATAATGCTGTACCAAACATAGGGATGCAGATATTGCTTCAAGACAGTAATTTTGTTTCCTTCAGAAACACAAGTGGAATTACTGTTCATATGGTAATTTGTTATTTTAAATAATTTCTTCATATGATTGTGATTAAAATTAAACAAGATTAAATAAGATAATATATACAAAATAACTTGTATACTTAACATGGTTATATAAGATAGATAATACTACTTAAACTTTCAAATAAAGATTAGACTTCAAAAGAGCCAGGAGAAAAGAAAAGCCAAAAAACTTAATTTTTAGAGTAATGCAGTAAGACATAATTAACCAGCTACAGAAGTACTAAAAAATAAAACCTGATCTACTATATGTATGGGGAAGTAGTACTCCAGGTGAAAAGAGAAGTTGTAGAAAAGTGTATGGCTAGAGACGTGTACTGTGATTCACTTCTATCAGACTGGGTAGGAGGTGTGCGGAAACTACTGAGTTTCTGTAATGAATATTTTAAAAAGTTGTTCTTTGGACCCAAAGATCAACAAGCAAAAACTTCCTAATGAACAATATTTAGCTTTAAGAGGAAGTTTGAGAGAGAGAGAGAGAGAAAAAAAAGCTGCCCTTATGCATGGTTGAGAAAGTGACAAAAAAGGTGGTAGAGTCAGAGCAAAGATAGCATTCAAGAGATGGAAAGTTAGGCTCCAGTGTAAATGCTATCCACCAGGAAGACCAACCTGATGGCCTGCCACTGCAGAGGTGATTTAGGGAAGACAAATGATGTTTAAAACAAAATGCTGTATAATGCAATACATAAATAGTGCCTGCGTACAACACAGAGTACAATGCACAGTAGAACACACAATACAAAATATATAAAGGTAAAAGAAATATTTTTGCTTTCCGGAAGCATACAATCTATTGCAGAGACAAAACATGAACATAAATATTATTAAATGCTATGAGATCAATGCTACAATAAAAATAGATATATTTAATGTTAGAAGAGGGATGGCATTTTTTGACTGATAACTAGAGAAAGTGACATTTCAGATGGACTTTTTAGCATTTTAACAGGATGGGCATTCTTGGCAACAAAATGGCACAAGCAAAATCTATTATTTGAGGTAATACTAGTTTTAAATCAGATAGCCCCTGAACTATCAGTGTAACAAAATAGAGACTTGATCACTTTGTTTCGAGAGTGCATTCAATGAGCAGCCTTCACTGCAATGACTCAGGGACCCAGGCTCTGCTTTTGCAAGGTTTCACTCTCTTCTGAGTCTCAGAATCTTTTTTTCAAGCCAGTGTATGGGGAATGACAGAGACTATGATGGACTGGATAGGAAGGCTTTGTGATCCAGGCCTGGAGGTGACAAACATCAATTCTACCCATATTCCACTTTTCTTTGTATTTTGAAAGTTTAATTATAACATGTTTCAGTGTTAGTCACTTTGAGTTCATCTTAATTTAAGTTCATTAAACTTTGTGAATATTTATATTTATGTTTCATCAGCTTTGGGAAATTATCAGCCATTATTTCTTCAAATATTCTCTGTGCCCCTTTCTCTTTCTCTTCTCTAACTGGGACTCCCACAGTGTATATATTTGTTTGCTTGATGGAATATAGGTCCCTTTGGCTCTATATTCACTCTTCTTCAATATTTTTCCTTTCTCTTCCTCAGACTTAATAACTTCCACTTTCCTATCTTAAAGTTTGATGACTCTTTCTTCTGCCTGCTCATATTTGCCTTTAAATCCCACTAGTGCATTTTTTCATTTCCATTATTTCTTTTTGATTATCTGTAGGTTTTGTCTCTTTATTGATATTTTCTTTTTGTTCAGACCATGTTTTCTTTACTTTTCCACATCTTTCCTTTAGTTCTTAGCATCTTTAATACAATGGTTATCATGGTTTTTTCAGATACAGAGTCTGTTGATTTATTTTTTACTTTTTATTTTCTAAAGGAAAAAAGTCTAAATAAAAGGCCAGATTACAGAAAATAAAGTTTCTGCATGGTTACATTTCTTGAGTATGTATAGGAAAGCAGAGGTTTAGCAGGAAAGACACATCAGAACAAAGCAGAGCTGACTGCAAAGATACTATATATCTCACATTCTAAACCATTTTCTGTGAGCCATTAGTCTTCATTTTATTTTTATATGTTGTCTACAAGAGACACCACTTATTTATTTATTTTATTAAATTTTAGTGGGTAATATTGGGTAACAGGGTCATATATGTTTCAAGTGTACAATTCTATGATGCATAATCCATATATTGCATTGTGTGC